GACAGAAAATTTTCCCATGTTTGAAAAAAAATTACTTCTAATAAGATTTAAATGGTTTAAGAAGTTCTGGTCTACACCTTTCTCCCATTCAGGTTTATCATTGTATTAACTTATTAAATCAGAATAAAAGACTTACCAGCTTGAATTAATGTCCCTCTGTGAGATGCTTGAATTTCTTTTCTTTCCCTTTTCTACCAGGGACAATAATTTCAGTGAATCCATTGCATATCACAATAGCAGGGCATTTTCTGCCTTTAAAAAATGTAATTGCCTTCCTAATGAAGTAGTGTGTATTGCAATATATTCAGTTACAGCAGTATAGTTTATCCAAATGAGGAAAAGAAGAAAAAAAATACTGATTTTTCTACAGACTTTTTTTTATTAATACTTTACATAAAGAGAAACCTAGGTCATTAATAACCAAATCCTGTAAAGGTCATCAGTACTAAAAAAGTTTCCTGAGTGAAATTCAGACCATAGTGTTTGATACCTGAGTTCCAGTGCTGCCTTGGATGGGATCCACAGCAGTGTGAGGAAAGCATCCCAACTACCAGTCCATGCAGTCTCTTTGGGACTGTTCCTGGTCCAACAGTTTTGTTCAACTTTTACAAAAGACCAGATAGTTTTTTCTCTGAGCCTAGTCTGTAGCCTGGCTTAGACAGAATCCCAGAATCACAAAATATGCTGAATTAAAAGGGACCCATAAGGACAGGACCATCCCAAGAATAACAGCATGTGCCTGAGAGTATGGTCTTGAACTCTGTCATGTTTGGTGTTGTGACCACTTCCCTGGGAAGCCTGTTCCAGTGCCCAACCACCCTCTAGGTGAAGAACCTAATATCCAACCTAAACCTCTCCTGACACAACTTCAGGCCATTTCCTCGGGTCTTGTTACTGGTCACCACAGAGAAGAGATCAGTGTCTACTCCTCTGTAGTGGGTTGACCCTGGCTGGATAACACAAATCTATGGGACCAGAAAGGATCCATCCTTGGGTGATGAGGGAGCTGGTGAAAGAGCTCACCAAGCCACTCTCCATCATCTACCAACAATCCTGGCTCACTGGGGAGGTCTCAGATGGTTGGAAGTTGGTGAATGTCACTCTGATCTGCAAAAAGGGCTGAAAGGAGGACCCAGGAAACTACAGGCCTGTCAACCTGACCTCAGTACCTGGCAAGGTTATGGAGCAAATCATCCTAAGTGCAATCACACAACACCTACAGGATGGACAAGAGATCAGGCCCAGCCAGCACAGGGTTTAGGAGGGGCAGGTCCTGTCTGACCAACCTAATCTTTTATGATCAGGTGACCCACACGGTGGATGAAGGGAAGGCTGTGGATGTGGTCTATCTGACACCGTCTCCCACAGCATACTCCTGAAAAAGCTGGCAGCCCATGGCTTAGACAAGGGCACTCTGTGCTGGGTTAGGAAACTGGCTGGAGGGCTGGGCCCAGAGAGTGCTGGTGAATGGGGCTGCATCCAGTTGGTGTCTGGTCACTAGTGGTGTCCCCCGAGGGATCAGTGCTGGGCCCAGTCCTGTTAAATATCTTTATTGATGATCTGGATGAGGGGATTGAGTGTACCATCAGCAAATTGGCAAATGACACCAAGCTGGGGGGGGAGTGTTGATCTGCTGGAGGGCAGAAGGGCTCTTCAGAGGGACCTGGACAAGCTGGAGACATGGTCTGATTCCAACGGGATGAGGTTCAACAAGGCCAAGCACCGAGTCCTACACTTTGGCCACAAAAACCCCATGCAGCACTACAGGCTGGGCACAGAGTGGTTGGAGAGCAGCCAGGCAGAAAGGGACCTGGGAGTTTGGATTGACAGGAAGCTGAACATGAGCCAGTAGTGTACCCAGGTGGCCAAGAAGGCCAATGGCATCCTGGCCTGGATCAAGAACGGTGTGGCCAGCGGGACCAGGGAAGTGATTCTTCCCCTGTACTCAGTGCTGGTGAGGCCACACCTGGAGTGCTGTGTCCAGTTCTGGGCCCCTCAGTTCAGGAGGGATATTGAGGTGCTGGAGCAGGTCCAGAGAAGAGCAACAAGGCTGGTGAATGGACTCAAACACAAATCCTATGAGGAGAGGCTGAGGGAACTGGGGTTGTTCAGCCTGGAGAAGAGGAGGCTCATCACTGTCTACAACTCCCTAAAAGGAGGTTGTAGCCGGGTGGGCGTCCGTCTCTTCTCCCAGGCAACCAGCAGTAGGACAAGAGGGCACGGTCTTAAACTCTGCCAGGGGAGGTTTAGGTTGGATATTAGGAAGAAATTTTTTACAGAGAGAGTAATCAGACATTGGAATGGGCTGCCCAGGGAGGTGGTGGATTCACCATCCCTGAAGGTTTTTAAGATGAGACTGGATGTGGCACTAAGCACCATGGTCTAGTAATCATGACAGTGTTGGATGATCAAGGGTTGGACTTGATGATCTCAGAGGTCCCTTCCAACCCGACGGATTCTATTCTATGATTCTGTTAATCCCACCTTAATTCTTCACTTTTTTTAATGGTTGTGTGACTGCCTCTCTGTGCTGGTTGTCCTCACAGGCCCAGGACTTTTTTCTGTTCCCGCTTTGGATGAGTGGTCAACTGCTCCTGACAATTTTACTTTCAAATTCAAGGTGTATGGTCAGTGTATGCTCATTTAAGTGACTTCAAAATTCTCTTTACATAAACATGGTGCATATAAAATTCAGCTATGGGACCACAAGAAACAAACATAATAGATTAATGAGAAGGATTGGAATAAATTTATCTTTAAATGAATATTCATAGCTATTTTTCAATATTTGACCGATAACTCTAGACAAAAAAACAAGATGAGTAGGAAGTAGACTGAAAAGGGAAGAACTTTAAAAATGTTATAGACCCAAAGAAAAAATTCACCAGCATTAAATGTCATGTAGTGTGTATGATAGACCTTTTACTGGAAAACCAATACTTTGAGGAACTCATTTGGACAGAAAACAAGAATACGGCCATAATGACAGTACTGTTGGACACTTCCAGCATATCTTGGTTTTCTGTGAGTTTGACTCTGCAATTATATGGTTGTGTTTCGTATGGTTGCACACAGGTAAATATAATCTTGACAACATCACAAATCCTTAGTACATCTTAAAAAAGAGTTTAAAGGGAGTGTTAGTGTTTGTATTGAGATAACACCAGCTGCTCAGTTGCAAAATATAAATGTGAGCTGCAGAAAGGATATTCCTCACAAGGCATCCAGGTTCAAGTAAGAGCAGGAGCATTCAGACCTATTTAACTGTAGTAAAGTGTTAAGTCTTATTAGACGTTGTACAGTACAGGGCTGGCAAACACTTGTTAGTTTCAGATGCCTACTAAAATTCTCTGCTCTAAAGAGATTTAAATGTTTTAACTCAAAAACAAGCCTGGAAGTAGTATGCTTTATTAGAGCAACTAGTACAGCTAAAGGCACACAAGACTTTTTCAGGTCTTAAAGAGAAGAAACACACTTCAAACTAGCAAAATTGCTCTGACTTTAAATTTGTTTATGTTAATTCATTTTTGCGGTGCCTAAATGTACATTTGGCAAGCTGGGAAGTGGTAGGTGAACACTGGCAAGACTGATCAGAAAAGTTGTGTGCGTGCACTTGTCAGGGTGACAGGGATATTCACAGCAGAGCGGTCCATAAGGACCCATGGAAACACCTCCAGTAGCTGAGCCTGTGACCGTGGTTTCATGGCAAGGCAAGCTAGTGAAATGGGTCCTGCTCTGCCTTTCACCACTGCTGGGGCTTGCTTGACACTGTACTGAGGCAGTTCAGAGCTAAAACTAGCAGAAAGCTAGATGCTGGGATTATTTCATTCTCATGTAAAGATTTTGCTGTTGAGATCTAAATTCATAAAGAACTTTTGACTTTAAAAAATATTCATAAATCTCTGTATTTCCTTTGGTGAGACACATAGACAATAGAAGATTCTTATTCATAGAAATAGTGTAAGAAAAGGAACCTGCTTCACCAAGAAGGAGTAATTTAAAAACAAAAAAGAAAGACATTCAGAAAAGGGTGCTATGGAAACAAAATCTGCATTTTCTTCCAAAACAGCTACAGTTTCTTACAAAAATTCACTGCAATTCTCAACTTGTAAGAGAAGCAGAAATAAAGCTGAAGAGCTCTAGTCATCTCCAGTTTTAAAAATACTTTATAAATCTCATATTTTTTCTCAGTTTATAGATAGTATACAAGAGACGGAAAAAAATGAAGTACTTGAGATTACTTATTGGGTTAACATTGAAATGACATGTAATATTCTTTAGACCCCAGTGTATGTGCCACTGGTGTATGAGCCAGCAAAATTAATACCCTAAATTAAATGAGGTCCTTTTGTGACTAAGAATTAATCAAGCTGTCTGTGTAAACACATATATGTGCACACATTCTTGGGCTCATGTAAACTACCCATAAAATTTTCTCTCTTTGAACTGAGTTCTTGACATACGCATGTTGCATTTTATACTGTAATATTATATATACTGTTCCGCTGACTAGACTAAAACTCTGCTTATTATAAATTAGTCCATAACAGTTTGGGTTTGCCCAGAAGCAGAAGCCTCATATCTGATGCATGTTCCCTAGAATACATTAAGTTACCATATATTCAGCACAGAGGGGAGAGAAGGGGAGGAAAGGGGAGGGGAGGTGAGGCGAGGTGAGGAGAGTTAATATGGTATTCATAACTCTCCCATCATGATATTGAAACAAAACCTTAGCCCCTCTGGTATTTTGCTGCCCACTTCCTACAAGTTCTGTGATTATGAGCTTTTATTACCCTTTTGTTTCATGAAAATCATAGCGCTCTTGTTGAAGCTGATTCTCACTCATAAAAAGACAAACCTTTTGTGAGGCTGCTGACTTTAAGAATAAAGTGGATGGAGTAAACGTCCTCTTACCTACCCAGCTGTTATTCAAAAAATTTGTCAGATGTGCTTTCCTAATGCTATTGCAGAAGCTAAGTCATCCTATTCTTTCTCTGCAGTTCTCCAAACCAGGGTGGAAAGCAAAGCCAAGCAGCAGCTAAGTGGAAAGGAGTCTGCCCTGTGGGAGCAGAGCGTGACCCTCAGGCAGCAATGGTTGCCTAATGGAGAGACACCAGGGAAGATTCCTGTTCTGCACAGTTCCACAGCCTTGCATCAGAAAGGGAAATCTATCTCTGCTAGAGGGTCATGGCTCTTTCCTGAATGATAGTGCTAGCACAATTCATACTCAACAGCTAGTTATCTGACTTCTATGTGCTCTCATTTCCCTCTCTGCAAATGAGCTGGATTACTCATTTCCCTCTCTGCAAATGAGCTGGATTACTTTGGCTGTTACCAGTGACACCTCTGACACTGAGTACTTCCACTGAATCTTAAAAAAAGAGATGCCATCTTTTTAATGAAAGAGTTTTGGAAACATTTCAGGGATCAAAGTTTCTGCGTTAATAAATAGAATTTGTGCTTTTTTTTTATTCTGCAGTCTGTTAAAAACACATTAGCAGATTTTTTTCCATTCCAGTGGGCATATGACTTATAAAATATTTGGGTGCCCAAAAACTACAGATCAGATTTCCAGTATTTTTAAGTTGCCCCATGCCCCATCATTTCAAAATATTGTGAAATTTGTAGACAGATGGAAATCTCTTAGTTCTTGGCTCACTAGCTTAAGCTTTTGTGAAAATGAATGCCAGCCAAGCTCAATTATTTCTGTTAGACATTACCCCTCTTTCACTGGTGAAGTGCAAATGTGCTTTCAAGGAGAATTAACTAAACTGTGAGAACAGGTTTGGCCAAATGTACACAGTAAAAACTTCTAATACAAGCAAACCAGCATGTGGAATTTCACTTTTGACTCACAAACATCATTACTGCTTTGTTCTAATACAGTTGTTATTATGGTCACCATATGAAAAAAGGCATATAAGTCCAGACTGATAAAGGTCTCTTCTCAATTTGGGACATGTTCTTTTCATTTTTAATGAAAAAAAATATTTTTTATCCAAACTAAGCATTTCATCATGTTTTTTTTTTTTTGAAACATAATTGATTTGATAGTTTGAGAATTTTTTAATTTTGTTTCAAAATACTGGGTGCCATTCTGAAAAGTAAGAAACAATAAGAATTTTATCGTTGATGACATAAATGAAATTCTGAGATTATGGACATTCATAATTAAACAGTTATGTTTGCAGTACTACACTTAGAAAATCAGAGTATCCTACACTTGATATAAGATAAATGTCTGAGAAATCAGTTCTATTTTGAGACACTATCTTTTCCTTTCGGAACATGATGTTCTGGTTATTGATTTTGGTTATCACTATGCACTGTCAATTTATAGCTGAAATAAATTTTCAAGAATTGTTTGACTTTGATCAGTCTCAGGTAACACTTTCAGCGGGATTAAAAAGACAATTTTGTGCATTTTGTCTCTTTTATATTCAGTTACACATCATTGTACAAGGTATTTGGAGATTAACAATTATTATATAAACCTGATAACTTTAGACTTTTATTCTTCTTTTAAGTAGTGATGTTCTTGCTAACTTAGTAGGGGCCTCATGGGTTTCTGCCACTTCCATAAACAATTCAAAATGTCCAACATACTCCATTGTTTTATTTAAAATTCTGGGAAGAAATGGAAATTGTCACTGTTGGAACAGACTGCGACATGAAAAGGTTCAGCAAGAAACTTTATTTCCAGGAAAAGCAGAACCTCGGGGCTGCTTTTGCAGCCCCTTAAGTACAGATTTTAGACACACGTATTCCACACGGATAGGTTAGTTCAAACTCACACACTAAGATTCTTACAGATAATAGGTGGATTTTCTTGACTCTATTTTCTCACAACAACTCTGCTCTTTCCCATAACAACCCTACTCTTTCTAACAACAGTCCTGCACACCTGCTCTTATTTGTCTTCCATATTTATGTTTTTCCCAGCCACTCTCGTTCAAAACAGGTCCTTGTTCTCATGAGACAGTGTTCCTGTTCTCTTGAGACAGTGTGATCTGTTCCCATGGGACAGCTCTCTCCTACTGCTCTTCTGCTCTCTCAGGATGCATCAGTATGTTGTTGGGATCAGGGCCTCCATTTTCAGTCACTCTCTCTCATCCCATCTCAGGAGCTCGGTCCCGCCGAAATCCCCCCCCAGGAAATAACATTGCTCAGATTGTTCCCAAACCAGTTAATTTAAAGAAAAAAAAAGTCAATTTACCTATCTCGAGGTCAGTCCTCTAGTGTAAACAGAGATTAATGGCTTTTAATTTGCGCTAGCTCTGAACAACTCTGCATAACTCTGGATATTTCTGGAGCCAGGGGAAGCTCCATGGAAACCCATTCCATGCCAAATATTGTCAGACCATGAAGCAGGTTTTCCCTTGGCAGAATAGTGGAAGAAATAGCCCTTGAGAGGCCACCAGAATGTGCAAAAGATGAAGAAGTAGAGTCACAGGGTCATTTGGTATATAATTTCCATTTCTTTCCTCAGCACTACAATAATTATAGACTATTACAAGACAGAGAATACCCTTTGATGGACATTATTCAGTCATAATCATGACAGATACAAAAATCAAAATAAGTTTGTTTGGCAGTTAAACTGGACAAATGCAAAAAGCCTTCATTTGGGAAATCAACTAAAAAGCAATTAGATAGAACCACAGGGAGAGGACAGGAGTCCCTTTTCAATTACTTGTTGAGTGATTTGATCACAAATAAACCTTAAGTAACAGCTACATTGTACAGACAAAGAAAACAAAAAACCCAAGCCCTGTAATAATGTTTGAAAGAAGTCACTGAACCATGATATTTGTTCTAAACCCATCAATATTCAGAAATCAGTGGTAACGAAGTGGCAAGAACAGTCTGCTCAAGCAGAGAGGAATATATGTATCACTGTGCCTGGTCCCAGGTTTTCTCTTGAAATAGGACAATTTGGGGGGGGTGTTTACAAAGCCCAGCCTTGGCAAAGGTGCCTGGGTAACAACTGCCTGGGGTAATATGAGTGTACACAGAACATGCAAACACAGACTTGACTGTGGGGGAAACATAAAGGAGGAGGGGAAGCATAAAAGAAACCTGAACACCTGTAACTGTGGGGAGAAAGAAAAGGGTACCAAAGCTACAGGTAAAACCTGGTTTGATGGTGTCAAAATCACTCCCCCAGCAGCACATCTCTGCCAGACAGAGCTGCCTCCTGGTTCAGATGCCGAGGTGTGCCTGTGCCCAGCAACGGCACAGATGTCGTGGGCAGCTACAAGTATGCCCCACATCCCAGTGTGCAAATCTCAGTTTGTAGACAATTTCATAACATTTTGGAAGTGTTTAACATTGTGGTGTTTCTGTTGTATTACTGGTAGCTATCCTGCACTTAAGGTTCACTGACTGCTAGTGAATCATGTGTCATAGAAAACTCGATAAATTGCCTTGATCTGGAGTTGATCTTATGATATTCTGGCAATCACATCCACGATTCCCAGACTTGTTGCTAAAAGCTGTTGGTAATAAAAGGTTGAATTATCATTGAAAAATAATTTACTGCACAGAACTTCTATCTTACAACTGAATAAAGCACATTTTGAACTTAGAGCAATGTTGCTATTTTTGCTTCTTATTTCTACCACTACAACTTGAATTGCGAGTAGTCCTTCTTGTGAGACAAAGCCAGAGACGGCCTGAGCAGCCAATACCAAGGGGACGCTGCAAAAGAACCGGAGAAAGGATTGTTCAGTTCTCCTGAATTCCTTCATCTGCAACTGTCTCATTTCCAGGAGTGTTTTTAATAATCAGATATTTTAGAAATGGAGAGCCTGTTCATATAAAACTGATAGTTTCCTAGCATAATTAATTTCATGGTCCCCTGGAAGGTCAAGTTTGTAAATACAAATGTCAGCTTTCAAGGTGTTAGGAGAAAAGGCTGCCTGAGACTGGAATTTGGCCTCTATGGGGAATATAGTTTAGGATCACAAACTGTATATTTAAAATCTCCTCCTCCTTTGCACAATTAATTTAAGGGAAAAGCATTTGAAAATAGAAAACTTCTAGGAACATTTATGGGGAAGATAAATTTTATCTTCCCCAGCTAGACCCAACAAACATGAATTTAATCCAAATATCTTTTGAAGAACATTCTGATTTTCCTTGAGTGGTATTTTATTTCTTTTTAACAATGGGATTATTGGCAGATGCTCAGCAAACTCTCCATCCTTATTATTTACCTAATCCTTTTGGAGCCTTTCTTTTCACAGTAAAATAAAGAGCTATCTTTACTTTAAAAATTAAGGGATCAGCAGTTTCTCAAAAATGTAATAGACAGAAAGTTAACCTAAACTTTTCAGAATACATTTTTCATGGATTTAGAATTTAAAAACATGAAAAAAACCCCACTAGGAATGTAGAAATAGGACCAAAGGGGGACCCAGAGGGCTGTTAATTCCATATATTCAAGGACTCTCAGAGTTTTTGAATTTTGGGAATGTAAAAAAAAAAAAAGTAGGTGCATTTACTGTAAGTAGATACAGAGATGCATTTGAACCTACTCATGTATCTAGATTTTTTTTCCTATACAATCTTGAAGTTGAAAACACAATTAATAAACAAGAAATCAGCAATTCCCACAAGATAATGGAATCTAGGTGTGAAAAACAGCAGTTATGGAGAAATATATAATGCTACCAGGAGACCTCTCGACTGCTTTTCACATCACTCAAAAATCCAGTCATTTTATTGCTCTACCTCCATTAGAATAAGATGCATTCAAAAGTGAGATGCAAAAGATGTTGCTAATTTTAATTGTTAGCTCCCCTATTTCTTCATCTGAATATGAACACATTTCTAGAGAGATCTACTCTAGTCTTCCTTATTTTGCTACCTTTCTTGAGGAGCTGAGAGACTGTTAATTGAAGCATTTCACCAAGTTTACATAATGAAACAATGTTATTTTAACATTTTGACATTACTTATCTACTTAATGCCAAGTGAAGTCGATGAAATTAATCCAGTGACTCAAATAATGCATCTTTTGGAAACTGCCTTCAATTTGACAGTAAGAATTGATCATGCTTGAGATGAAATTAAAACAGAAAGTGTGTCTTTTTCTTTTTTTCTTTTTTTCTTTTTTTCTCTTCCCTTCTTTTCATAAATAGAAATCTTCAGGCATTAAGAAAAAAAGGCATTAAAAATTTTATGCTTTGTAGTTTCTTAAGTGTAACAGCTAAAGATATTGGGACATACAAGAAGCAAAATTGGACAAATGAGCAGAAGAAGGCA